AATAAAAAATCAAGTAGGGGCGATCACTCACTCTTGTATATCGATGGCTTCGTCTCTGATGGGACTAGGCATGCCTTATTTCAAGTTACTAAAGCGATAAAAAGATTTAAAAAGAGAATCAGTAGTAATAGGAATTGGAAAATGAGAAAAATTATTATATTTTTATCATACCGTTTATCTATAAAAAGGAAATTATAGGTAACATTTTGTAGGAAAAAATTTCAGTTGTGCTTCTGTTTATTAAGGCAAATTACTATTGTATCATAGGTCCATAGTCAATAATAATATTTTATATTGTGCCCCCTTGAAAAAGTTTTCTAACTCCGCCATGGACTCAAAATGCATATCTTCCTTATGCGAGTCAAAACAAGTTTCTTTTTTTTTTTTAGAATGTCAATAACTCAATAACAAATACTCGAGTAAATTGTATTTGTGCATCCTAAACAATTCTATTTTTGCATAATTCTTCTCGAATTTTTAATTTTGACAAATTACACCATAAACTTTAAAATTAGTTGCAACTGAAGTCCAATAGTTAATTACGTTATCAAATTGACGTTCGAGACACAAGATTTACGCATGATTTGGTTTGAAAAATGACAATCTTTGTTTTCATGTACAAATTCTGTGTGTTAAACCGTCAATTTAATAACATTCGTTGGCTATTGGACCTTAATTGTAACTAATTGTAAAATTCAGTGTGCAATTTGCTAAAATTAAAACTTCGAGGTGTCTAATACAAAAAGAAAATTATTTAGGGTGTACCAACGCAATTTACTCCAAATACTTCCCTTCTATGATATTATTAGTAACTAACCAAACTTAAAACCAAAGGAGATATTTTGTTAGCAACAAAAGTTTCTTTCACTTCCTATCAGAAAAAAGGCCTCTATAGCTTTTAAATGGTAAAAGTTAATAGTGACCAAAAGTAACAAATTGACCAAACAGGAAGCACAACCCACGCCAAAAATCATCCTATCCTTAGTAGTGGCTCAAGCGGGTAATATGTTAGAATGAGTTTCTAACAAAGTGAAATTAATAAAATGATATTTTTTATTTTTTATGAAGAAAGAAATTTACTCATTTTTTATAAAATGAGATTATTTTATAAATAAAAATTTTTAAAAAATTATTTTATTAATAAAATTTTTTAAAAGAGTTATTTTTAGGAAGACCTCGGCTCAAGCTCAACAATTTTGGGGGTACCTTATGATGCTGACATAAACATGCTGTCACACTTGTGTTCAGGTTAAGGGAAACTCGGACTGAGTCAGTAAAAATTCAGTAAATGCCAGTTAGTGTGGGCCCATATGAGAGAGAGAGAGAGAGAGAGAGAGTTTTGGGGGAGAGTTTCCAAAGAGATTCATGTCATTGAGAGACCCCCATAGCTCCTTTTGAAATAATGTGGGAAGAGGGTCAGGCATGGATATGTAAGCATGGAGGCCATCATGTTCCCTCTGGTCCAAACTCTCTCTTCTCTCAAAAAGTCATATAATAATAAAGCTCTTTTCCCCTTAGTATTTTCGTTTTTTTTAACCCTCGGTGATTAATACTAAGTATAAGATTGCATCATATCTTAGTTTTCGGGATTTTTTTAAGATGTGTGTACAGTTTAAATCTGTGTTATTGGATGAGTTTACGTATTGTAGTTTATGTAATATCAAACAACTTTCTACATTCATGACTCAAACCCCATTTTGGATTTCCGAATGCAAATCTCTAAAAGTTGTTTAAAAAAAGCCCTAAAGGAGAGTCTTCAAGTCCAATTTCCACCTTTTCCAATGAGTGTGAAGTGAAAGTGTGGTTAGGCTTTTCGCCAAAGAGGAGTGAGTGGACCAAAAGAGAACATTGCCGACATCTTGGAACTCTTAATCCTTTTTTAAAAAGCACTTAATGCAACAAATTAGATTCTAATTGTACACCACCTATGATTACCACTGCATTTTAAAATAGATATTGGGGGTGAAGCATATCTTTTTTGTAATACTTAATTTGTGTATCAGCTGTATTTTGGAAGTTTTTGCTTGTCCTTTTGTTAATTTAATTCTTTCAAAAAAAAAAAAAACAAAAAACCTCAGAGACACCACTAATATTAAACACTATCAATAACAAAATATATGGCATCCACGTTTTGTTAATAGACCGGAGCCCTAGTGTATTGTTCTCTTTCAAATTCACTTAAAATTGATATTTTCAAACAACATATAGATAGTAATCACCAGAGTTTCTATAGCTGTCTATTCGGCATACTTTTACAATCTTATTTGATTTTGATTAAATTCAACTGTCAAAAAACTGACTCTACTAGTAGAAAAGTCCAGCAGAGAGTACTAGTTGTCTCCCTAGTCCTTTGACCTCTTTGAATTTATTGTCCAAGATTTTCCTGCGTCCCAAACAGTTTCTCCAGTGACCAACCTACTAATTAGATTGCCAAGCTTTCTAGGCAGACAAGAATCTGTTTACTCTACCAATAGAAACATTCTTCTTGAAATCTGGTCTTGAAAAGGAAAACAAAATCGGGGGGTCCATCCTACTAGAAACATAACATTATTATCATTAGAATGTTCATATGGTATGAGTAAAATTATGTGCCTAACGTGACATGAATAATAATGCATGTATATCAGCAGGGGTATCAAACTCTAATTAATTAATTAATTAGTTCATTAATTAATCAATTAGTGATGAAAACCCACTTTTTGTATGAGGCTTATGAGGAGATTTACTCACACCAAAGTTTCCCACTTTTTTCTAACACAGCGAGCCCATGAATGAAACAGTGGGCTCCTCTCTCTCTCTCTCTCTCTCACACACACACACACACATTTATTTTTGGCAAAGAACAATTGGACCAAACTCATGTGAAACAAACTTGGATTATAATCTACTTGTTGTGCAATTATCAACTTTTTAGTGCATTTTTTTCGTGCTTAAAGCTTTCAATCAACTTAAAACTAAATAAATTTAATATAACTGAGAGAGATGGAGAGGGGCGATTAGATGATAAGATGAGAGAGATTAGAGGAGGATAGATTAGAAAAAATTCTTGAATTTATCATTAAAAGGCACGAGTTTAATATAATTATTTTACTAAAAATGATATTAATTAAGACTTAAAAATCAAGACTCGTGTATTTTTAAAGGGTATTTTGGAAGATTTTTTGACTAATTATGCTAAGGATAATGTTGGGCCTTCTCAACTCTGTGGGACAAAAATCCCGACGTCGGAGTCACCATAGTGCGGCTCAATTCTCAAATGGTTGTCGTTTTTGTTGGTGCTCAAGGACTTGTCGTTTTCTCAAGTTGTTGGCACCATCAAGTGAGAATGTGAAATGATATCATGTCGTTTTCTCCTCAACTGCTTGTGGATGAAGACGACCTAATCACTTTTCATGCTCGAGGAACTTTTTTGTCTCCACTATAGAGCCACAAACGACATGTCGTAGATATATTCACAGCTTTGTTATATAAAAAAGGTCGCCTTATCTAAATTGTATTTTTTTTTTTTTGGTCCATATAAGTTCTCAACCATTTTGCAAACAAAAATTTAAAAATAGAAAGTTCGCTTATGTATCAACAACTGTAAGAAAACAAGGAAAAAAAAATGTCCCTTATATATATATGCCGTTATATTTCTGCAGTTTTGCCGGCAAAACATGTCGTTTGTGTCTCGAAAACTGACAAGTGACGCACTTCCTCTATTTATAAGCGACATATTGCATTTTGACAAACGACATGTTTACGCGTTAAAAAAATAACAAATTCCTAGCAAAGGCCGTTGTTTATGCTTCGACAATTTCATCACATTCACAAAACAATTTCTCGATCATCAATAATTACAATATGTTTCCTTATAATTTTCTGATAAACATTAATGCATGTGTTGTTATATATAGTTTTTGGCTAATAAGATATATCTCAAAATTCCAATAATATTTTTATAAACTTGCTTAAAAATACATGTTAGCATGCAATTACCATGTAAAATAAAATAAAATAATAATATATAATTTTTGTTGTTGTTGGTGAATGATTTTTGTTAACGCATTTCCGTTCTGTTTCCTTCAGTTCTACTAATGGTTCCGAATGTGCCAAAATGCCTATATATATTGACTGTAGTGGAGCAAAAAGTCCTCTGGAATTTTAGAAATTTGATTTTTTTTTTTTTACATAGTAAAATGTATTTAAACTTTAGACGCGCCTTTATTTTATAAGAAAACTTATAATGGTGTCAATGATTAAACCTTGTTACTTACAATGTCCCACTAATTGGTTATGAATATGAATTAAGGAAATAGAAAAAAAAAAAAAAACTAGAAACTTATCATCAATGCGACAAAAATTAGGAAGAAGCACCGCAATTCCCAACTTCTGTCGTTGGTTAGTGTAACTCTACATCATTTTTCTTTTTTTGAATGGTTAACTCTACATCATCTTCTTCATTTTTATAACTTGTAATTATAAGTTAAGGGTGTGTTCTAGCTTAGCTCTCAATTATGAGCCTATCACCATGCAATATTCAAGTGTATATAACACGTCCGACACAATTAATGCTAGCTTATAATAGCAAAATTAGATAAATACAAATAAAATTTGTATGTGTGTGTGTGTATATATTATATAGAATTAAAAATTAATATGGAGAGTTATTGTTTTATTAGTTTTACGGACCTCAGCATTGGGATTTTTTTTTTATAGAAAAAAATGTTCAAAATTTTGAGGTGTATAAGATAATTAGTTAAGAATTGCTAACAAAAGAACATTGAGGTGTAAAGATAATTAATTAATTAATTAATAATACTAACTAACAATAGAAGCCTTAACTTAAGGAGAGCCTTAAGTAATTGCCTTAATGGCCTTATCCTTGAGCATTCATTGACACCAACAAAACCTTTTTCTCTTAATCACCACCACCACCACCACCACCAATACCCCTTTGCATGGCCACCTAGTACGTAGTAGTTATGACGTCCTTCCTAATTGCTCCTCCAACGTCCAAATTCCTAACCATAACCCAACATTAAGTAGACCAATCATCTCTTAATAATTATCCGACAGGATGGCCGCCGCCTTCCGGAGCCACCTCGCCGCCTCGAGGCCCGACCTCCTGATGATCGGCTGCCTCCTGTCCCTCATTCTCTCCTCCTCCTCAACACTCGGCATCAGGCTCAGCCTGGTCCGTACTCGCCCCACCCCCGAAAACCATGACACCCTCCTCGCCTTCCGTGAGGCCCCCGCCTTCCGCAACAGCGACGAGTACTGCCACCTCCCCGCCTCCTCCTCCGCCGCCTCCGCCATCCACGTCACCATGACCCTCGACGCCAACTACCTCCGCGGCACGATGGCCGCCGTGCTGTCCATCCTGCAGCACTCCACGTGTCCCGAGAACCTCTCCTTCCACTTCCTCTCCGCCGCCGCCGCCGACGAGCGCCACCTCCGGTCGAGCATCAACTCCACCTTCCCTTACCTCAATTTCGCCATCTACCGCTTCAACGCCGCCAGAATCCGGTCCAAGATCTCGAAATCCATACGGCAAGCCCTGGACCAACCCCTCAACTACGCGAGGATCCACCTCGCGGAGATCCTCCCAAACGGCGTGAAAAGAGTCATTTATCTCGACTCCGACCTCGTCGTCGTCGACGACGTCGCGAAGCTCTGGAACGTGGACATGGAAGGGGAGGTCGTGGCGGCGCCGGAATATTGCCATGCAAACTTCTCGCAGTACTTCACAGAGGCTTTCTGGAATGATCCTGAATTGTCGAAGACGTTTGAAGGAAGAAAGGCGTGTTATTTCAACACGGGGGTTATGGTGGTTGATGTGGAGGAATGGAGGAGAGGGAAGTACACGGAGAAGGTTGAGGAATGGATGGACATGCAGAAGAGGAAGAGGATTTATCATCTGGGGTCGTTGCCACCGTTTTTGCTGGTTTTCGCTGGGAAGATCAGGGCCGTTGATCATAGGTGGAATCAGCATGGATTGGGTGGGGACAATTTTGAAGGGAAGTGTAGGAGTTTGCATCCCGGGCCGGTGAGTTTGCTTCATTGGAGTGGGAAAGGGAAGCCATGGTTGAGGTTGGATTCTAGGAGGCCCTGCACCGTTGATCATCTCTGGGCCCCATATGATCTCTACCGTTCGTCGAGGCATTCGTTGGAGGAGTGAGCTGTATGATGAGGAAATGGAGAATTCTGTGTTGGGGTATAGGGGAAATTGCCTTAAATATCCGGAGTTTCAAAAATAGTTACATTTTCATCGAGGGTTTCGTTATTTGTATATACTATTTGTTTGATTCTGATATGATACGACGTTCAGATTTCGAAACTCAATATCCTACCACGGAATTCAGCAGAGTTGAGGAAATAGAGAGAGAAGGATCCCGTTGTGGAACGGAGGGAATTGGCCCTTTGGAACCATTTTTCCTTCTTATGAATTCTTTGTGAAGCAGAGAAAATGAGAGAAGGGCCATGGAGTCGGGCTACATTTGTTCCACATACAGAGAGACGATGAGGGAGTTAGCTTGGTTCTTGGGCAATTTTTGCCTCTTGGTGTGGGCCCTTAAATTGGCCTAAAGCAAAAAAACTTGATTTCTTTTATTTTTTGTTATTATTTTATTTCTCTTCTTGTTCCACACTTTTGGGAACCATTTGTTTTGGGTGTCGTTGCTTTGGGTTGTAAATCATCATTAAGACGTCATTAACTTCCAAGAATGAAGCACGGATATATAAATGCCAAAACGGATTTAGAATCTGTTTTTGTTAATTTATTTTGGGGCTGATAAATGATCAAATCAACTTTCGTTATCTTGAAGCCTGTCCTATATTAAAGACGACAATCTTTACTTCAAATCACAACGCTCATGATTGTATTACAAACGGCATAACACTATACCTTGGTAATTACATACTTCAAGAGGTTGAATTGCATAAAGAAAGTAAAACTAAGACACGATAATTAATGAAAGCAAAACTGAAAAGCGTGTCTTTGCTTTTGTTTTGTTTTTTTCTTTTCTCCGTCCCACCAAAACAGAAGGTAAAAATTCATTACATTAAAAATTCAATGAAATTCCCACCCCAATTAAGTTAGAATTAAGACGTCTTGTTGTTGTAAAAATTCAATGAAATAGGATTGGATTTCTAACAATAAACTGAGACTATATGGGAGTAATTCTTGTCGTACACAAAATCTCATTCACCAAGAGCAATAATGAAATGATTGTTACACAACACACTGAAGAAAATCACTACATTGGAGCAACCAACAAGGTTTCAACATGTCTTATGTTGTCGTCTCATTTCCACCTAGACGTTACATGAACATAACTTATTTGGAACATTTGGAAAGCCATAAATAACTAATCCAACTAACTAGACTCGATTGCCCATTTTTTCAACCCAATCTGTAATTAAGATTTATCGAACTCGAAATGGCCAAAAATCACAAGGGCGGGATTTGGAAATGTGGTCTCAGCACAACTACGCATAGATTTCCAAAGCATCTTGTGCTTGGGATATGGTGAATAAAATAATGAAGACATACCCCTGATATTGTCTGCCTAAACTATCCTCGTTGATCCAATGTTTATAGTTTACACTCTTGCCACAGCAGCTGATGGGCACGGGCCTAATGTATTCCACAAAATATATTCACCAGAAGTAACCTGTTGATAGGAAGTAGAACGCTTAAGAAAATTATGCAAGTACATATTAGCAACTCTGAATTCCTAAGAATGTACCATAAAGCCATAAACTTATTAAATCTTAAATACATAATAGTTAACTATTTCCTATCAATACACAGGAAACTTAATGCGTTATGTGTATCATACTTCAATCGCTCTAATGCCCATGACTCTAGCCAGTTGACAGAAATTAAAAACTAAAATCAATCTTGAAATATAGGATTCTGGAAGAAAACATACTTGAGTCGAGTATTCCACGGGTGCTTTAACAGCTGGATAGATGCTAACCTGCATACAAAACAGACGATGATTAAGAGCCAGCAAACAACTAATTTCACACACAAGCCTTACTCACAAACCTCACTGTCAGCTCTTTATTACAGAGGAGGTAAAGAAAGGACAGGAGAACTAGACAGCTGACTTACAGATTTCGGGTCAATTGATAATCCAGATAGTGGTGAGCCAACAATTCTGAAGGATACCTATAATCAAGTGTAAAATGCCTGTGATTAGTAAAGCTATTTTAGGTAAAGCAAAAGCTGCCTGACAAACACTGGCTTCAGCGAGGTGGTTTCAAATACAAGAAACTCAACAAAATGTTTAAATACCTTCGCATAGTTATATGCCTGCCAGCAAAATGGCTCTTCCAACTCAACGGAAGGAAGATCCTTGTTCATTTTCTCCATTAAGCATTCATCTATATTTACCATATTATTAGGACCATCAGTCTCTGTATCACTATCTTCATCAGCTATGCTTCTAGATGCTAGACTAGAAGAAGGCAATCTTTGAATTTGCCACGGAGCAAATCTCACTGTTCCAGGGAAAGTTGCCTCAACACTTTTCCCACTAAGGCCCCGTCCACTTGTTACAATTTTCCATTCAACTGAATGCTCTGTAGTTGAAACTGTTCCAATTGAAGGAGTCCCATCAAAGGATACAATTCTTCTCCTAGGAAAGGGCATTATCACTGTACAGAACTCCATTGTGAGGGGTGACTTATAACCTTCCATTAACCGCAATTTGAACAAAAATGCACCTTTGTCTTCAGAAACCATTGATAATTGGTAAAATCCCTGGATCGGAGGACCAACTCCACATGTAGCATGATAATGCATTAAAACAAAATTACCTAATGGCGGAGAAAACATCACAGAATGCTTATCCACACCATGTTCTGGAACCTGAGCACAAGGATGAAAAGATAAAACTTCAATGCGATTTGTGTTCAACCCTGTCAAGGGGAATGACACGTCTGACAATCCTTCTAATTCTGCTCGACAGTTTATTTGACCAGAAATGGATATACTATCTGGAATTTCATCTCGATCGTACATGGAAGCATGGACAATCTCATGAATCGTGAATAACACTCTCTGCTTTCCTTTGTAAAGGTACGGCTTCCATGCTGGTTGCTTTAGGTCTGAAGGAGGAAGATCCGACGCAGAAAATCCATTCATCTTCATGGAGAAAATATTCGAATGGCTCAAATCCAGAGGTGTACCTACATTTTTTATAGGATATCTATTATAAGACATTTATTAGAAATAGGTAATGCAAGACAATCCCCCAAAACTATTTTAGTGATAGCAATAAGAAAAAACGTGATGTGAAATACCACAACTAAAGGTACAAACCAAAGGGCATTGAGCTTGTTATGAAAGTTCGGAGTGCATCTTTATCCAAAGGCCTTGCACCAATCCTGGGAGCATCAGACGCTACATTTCCCACCACAGCAGTGCTAGAAGGGTTTGCAGATGCAACTGGTGCAGCTACAGGTTTTGCCCTTGAGGAGATTCCTGTTATTCCTATACTACCAGTTAGTGAATCCAACAATCCTCCTACAGATGGAGCTGCACTTACAACGACCTCAGGTTCTACCCAATCACCACTGATTACGTCACCAATTGCATGCGCCACCATAAATGCCCTATAAAACAAGCAAAAGAAACTACTAAACATCTTTGACCATGCAAATCATTTGATGTAATAAAATCATTTTGACCAACATTTAAGGTGAGACTCCTTTTGTTCAGCAGGCCTTATAAATTTTTTGATACAAGACAGGATTGAAGCCACAAACTCCCCCCAAATCCCACCCCATGTGAACCCCCCAGTGCCACCAGACCAAGAGGTCTTTGGCCAGCACGCCTTATAATCCTCCCTGCACTTTGGTCCTAGATTCACTATGGCCCTCAACCTTTGACAACCTTTCGATTGTCTTTTTAAGATCAATATGAGCTTTTATGATTAATTTCTCTAATAATTAGGATTTTTAATTTTAACCCAAATTACTGTACTACCCTTCTAGTACACTTCCAAGTTAGCGTACCTTCCAATTATTTGACGGAATTGGCTGGAAGGGGAAGTTTTGCACAGATTTAAAAATTCAGGGGGCATGTCGACCTCATTTCAAAAGTTGGTGGGCGCAGTGAAATTATGACCAATGCTCGGGGGATTTAAAAAATTTGTCTCTTTTTTTTTCCCGGCTACGTAAACCGCAAGTAACTTACCATACCCTGTGATGGAGGGTAGATCAAGCAGCAGGGAAGATAAACTGTCATCCACTCCAACAGTATTTCCACAATCGGATCTCTTGCTTAAGCATGCGTATGCCTTCAAGTGTTTAGGCTCGACCAAAGGCAATACAAGGACAGAATATTGCCCCTTCATATGTAAGACCAAAGGCCATAGAAGGTTATTATCTCCATCTTCTTCTTTGTTTATGTAAAGACCTATTATATGCCGCGTAATTGGATCATCAACCCAGGAATCTGAACCTTTAGCTGACTGACTTACGCGTATGCCGAGTCCGCGAGCAGACCCCTCTCTACAAGGATTAAAATAAATAAATAAATAAACCCGGAATTTCTTCAAGCATTAACGAAAGGTAAAATGGAAGGAACATTGCTTTCGTCCAGTAGGGATGTTTTGACAGTGAGATTTTTATTAAGTTGCTTTAAACTGTAATATTTGTCTTAATCGGATAGGCTTACAATGTAATCTTATGATTCAACACTACGTCAATCAGCTTTTGTTTTTCGTACTCTACAACAGAATTATCTGGAATAAGATTCAAACTTCAAAGCATAAGCCAGTACTTAAACACATATATTCAACATTAAAAAAAAATGGAAACCAATTGTAGCGACTACGGCATGGTTTGCTTAATGAATTGGATTACAAATCAAGATTTTATTAATCCGATAAGAACTATACCTTCGTTTTCGCTCGACGAAAGCAGAGACGAGCTCCGAATCAGTAGGGAGTAAAGGAAAAACGGTGTACTTAAGACTTTCTTCGGCAGCAGAAGTCTCGTTCTTGCTCTCGCAAGCCGATCGCCACCGCTTCTCCACCACCGGAAACCGCCTAAAAATTGAATACGCAAAACGGGAATTCAATCTCCGAAACTCCATTACATGAAATCACTAAGATGAATGAATCGATCATTTCATTATTCTTAGAAGTAAAGAGGAAATTTCGGAATAAAGATCGAGAAGTGAAAAGCGAAGAAAGAGAAGAGAGAAATTGAGGGAGTGAAAATGAGGAGGACCTGGAGAAGACGACGGAATCGAGGCTGTTGAGGATCCAAATGGCTCTGATGCTGCAACCACCGCCAGGCATGGCTTTCTCTTTCTCTCTCTGCAGCTCCCGACTATGGAGAACAACAATGGAGTAATGGAGGAGAAAGTTCTCAATTTTTTGTTTTGTTTTGTTTTGTTTTAGATGATAAAAGACAAAAATACCCTATTTAATATCAGCCATTGATCTAAAAAATCAGATCTCAGCCCTCCATTCTCACAAGTTCCGAGTTGAACTAAAAACCCTATTATTCATTTCCCACCAGCCCCATCCCCCGCCCACCCCCGCGGCCGTCCAGCTCATCGGAGACGTCATAGACACCATCGCCGTCTTGCCCCAAGCCTCCATCCGTGTCCCGAGCCCCTGACCTTCCCTCCGCCGGTGCCTCAATCCGCCGTGCCCTGAGCCTGCGAGCCACCGTCAAGCTCACTGTTCCGTCGCTAACGCCATCGCCCAGGCTCCGTCGCGACCCGGACTTCACAGACGTTGGCGTCGTCTTCATCTCCCTTCCCTCGCCAACTCTTCAGCTTATTAGATCAATGTATTTTCGTTTCAGATCTGATCTATTGTATTTGATTGATGTTATTCACTTTTTTCGTTTATGAATCTTATTGAAATGCTGAGAAATTGAGAACTTTTATTATGTAATCGGTCATTGAAAAAGGTTTTGTTTTTGTTATTTTGTTGAATGTGGTAAATTGTTTTCATATAACTTAGCTTCAAATTTCATGCGTCTTTTTTTTTTTTTTGGTTGAATATTGGGAAATAGTTGTTTAGTTGAAAAAAAAAGAGTTACGGCGTTTGGAAAATACACTAGAGTAGATAATATTCAACAAAAAAGAACATTGTCATCGTTAGTTCCTGTTCAGAAGGTGGGTGTTTCGTGAGGGACTTTTGAATAACAAAGGAACAATAACATACATTTTCTTTTTGTTAAAAAGATCTTCATTAGAGTTAAAATTTTAATAAAGTGTTAAAAATCAATTAAACTCATTTTTTTTTGTTAAATAAGAGTGAAACTGACATTTTTAGTATTATACCTTGCTTAAAAACGTTTTCTTGTACATGGTGGGGTATTTTTGGCATTTTCTTAAAAAAAAAATCAGCATTGATGGTCAACTAACGGTTAATTAATAGAGGGGGATGTCAGTGTAATTTTTTTCAAAAATTAGGGAGTGTTGATGTGATTAGTTTCGGTTATAAGAGTGTCACTGTTATTTCGACAAAACAGTGTTAATTATGAGATTCTTGGTTGGGCGTGAGTGACATGCTTTTGAGATTTTTAGGAATCTAAATAACATCATATTGGGTGTTATTAGACTATTCCATTTTGGGATAAAATGAATCCCATGAGATTCATATTTATGGGAATATGAATATCACAACTCTTGTACCAAATATAGTAATGTGTGAAGATTCTCATTCCCACTCAAAGATTACTTCATACCAAACGCTCCTTAACTTAATTTATTATCGTAAAAAATGAAGCTAATTTCATTGAGGGAGTTATTATCCTAAAAAAATTAAGCTAATTTCATTTAGGGATGTTTAATCAATTGTATTGTAAAAAAAAAAAAAAAAAAAAAACCCGCTTAGATGTACCCTTTTTTTCATGTTCTTTAGTGTGTTCCTTTAACAACACCATTTCATATCAATTTAAAAGTCTCTTATTGTGTTGCTTCAATGAGACTACCAATTCATATTATAAAGTGATATTTTAATTGATACAATATAATATTATCGGAGGAACGTAAAAAGTGACGAGGAGATAGATGAATGAAATAAATAAATAAATAAATAAATAAATATATATTTGATCATAACGTATGTTCCACTCTCCCATTCTCCATCTATTGTATGCCCTCCAAAAGAGCAATCACAATCCCTTGATATATCCTCAAAAACAATCCTTCCTATATACATACACTATTCAAATATTTGAAGGATACCAAATTTGTAAGACATTTTGTTACTTTCTATTTAAAGAATTGTACTTGCTTTCTTTACAGCAAATGTACAAGTGTGTGTGTGTATATATATATATATATATATATATATATATATATATGCTTGTACGTATATATTTTCCATTTTTTCATTTCACAAGATTTTTCTTTAAATTCTCCCAGCAGATTCTATTAACTTCATGACACTACAAAAACACATGCTACACTTCTCTATGCTTATTACAACAACTTCAAAATAACTGAATACTTCTGTGGATAAAAAAAGCCAAAATACAAAAAAATAAGCAGAAAACCTCAGTTCCTGAAAGTGCCACAATAATTTGGTTCTCGATTTCCCGTGTGCGTGTGGTGTGTTCAGCAGCAACTTAAAGGTCAGCGCAGAGATAGGAGATAATAGAGCCTGCCCGCCTTTTGGTCCTCTGACTAACCTTCCACTTCTCAACGAGCAACTTCTTTATGTTTGGACAACCGGAAACCACCGTCGCAACTGCGGACGAAGTTACGCCAGGGCAAAACACCATGTGGCAGGATTCAAGCAAAGTGCAGTTTCTGACGAGATGGGATATACCGACATCTGTTATTTGACGGCAGTGTGACAGCACTATTTCCTTCAGGTTTGGACAGCCTTCTCCTAGTTCTGCCATTGCCATATCACCCAAATTCTGCCCCAGAAAAAAAAAATTAAATCAACTGAACTTTATTTTTTGGTGCGTAGAAACTAGAAAATGAATTTGTTACCCCTGCAGCTTAAACAAATTGGTTTTTGTTATATAAGACTTTTTTTTTTCCTGAACTTGGAGTGGGGCTCAAGAGTTGAGTCAGGTGTGAGTATGCACATAGTAAAAATATTTAGATACACAAATGACCAGGCTGCACAAGCACTCTCCGAACAAATTGTTAAGAATTTATATTCATAAATTGATTATTAACTTTACAGTCAAGATATGGACTGAAACACACTGTTAATTTACGTGGCAACCAAGAATGGCAAAATACGAGGGATCGGTTGAAGTTTATAAGCACACAGATATTCTCAAGAGGGGTTTTTGCCAAGAGATACATGAGAGTGAGAGATCAGAGAGACGCACCTGGAGAACACTTACGTCTAGGTACGTAAGTTCAGGACAGCCTCTTGCAATGGCTATTATTCCAGCATCCCCAATTTGATGACACCCACTGACATTTAGATATTGCAGGCAGCTACACTCACCAATGGCAACAAGTGCCTCGTCTCCCACCCTAGTAATGGCAAAATAAGTTAGACCGGAATACAAATGGTATACAACTTATATACATAATTATATTGCAGTCCGCATACTTTCATTTTAAAACATATGTACTTGAAATAGAAGAATCTTTATATAAAGAAACAAAGGATGTAAACGTGATAATTTGTATCCTTAAATGATGAAAAGAAGACTTCACCTATCACAAAATCGGAGGCTAAGATCTGTCAGGGACTTGCAGTTCTCTCCAATAGCCATAATTCCCTTGTTTCCAATCTATGATTAAAAAAAAAAAAAAAACCCGGATATATGCAATGTTAAACAATCCAAGAGAAATAAATTACAGAAATGAAGCATTTTCCAGCAAATCTGACAGTTTACATTGAAGAACTACTTTTCGACTAATAGAATATTCAGCATTCTCAAGTATTGTACTGCTTTGAACATATCGTCTCAAGACAACACTAAAAGCTTTCGTAATGTTTGAAAGCCATAAATGGAAACGAGAAATATTTTGAGTGATGTGCGTGTGTGTGTGTGTGAGAGAGAGAGAGAGAGAGAGAGGGAGAGAGAAAGAGAGAGAGAGAGGGAGAGAGAAAGAGAGAGAGAGAACCTCATAACATCGCCGAATATGAAGTTTCTTCAAATTCCTGCAGCCTTCGGCTATACTACAAATTGCCTCATCTCCAATACTTGAGCAATCCACCAACTCAAGGGATTGTAAGAACTTGCAACCTCTTCCGATCTCATGAAGTGCAGTGTTGCCTATTCTTTGGCAGTACAACAATGCTAACTCAGTAAGACGCCTGCACGCGTCCAATATTTTTTTATTAACAAACTACTGATAGAGAGAACTATTATGTGATGAAGTGACAAGACATGACAAATAGGAGGAACAACCAGTCTATTCCGGTCTTCCAGATAAGCAAAGATGTTTGACAGCCTAAGTGCCTAACCATAAAATCCTGCAGAGTGATTGACCCAATTGATCCAATATCAAACTAATCTATTATTGTTGAAAAGCTAAAGTAACAATTTGGCTCAGTATGTAGATGAAGACTATCGTTATTTCTTGAATTAAGCTGAAAACACAAACAGTGAGCAGATAAAATTCAACCTCGTTTGATATGTACAGTGCATGTACCTCATGAAACCGTGTGTCGTATTTCAAGCACACAGTAAAACCATGCGGCTCTCAAAAAAATTCTTGCACAGACTAGCAGGTTATGTAACTTAAAACGTGAATTCCATCTATTCATCAATATCATTACCTCCTATGATACCAATTTTAAGTCAAGCTGAGAGAGAAACATACGGGCAAGACTTCCCAATGAGTTCCAGCCCCAGAGTTCCAATGTTGTGGCACCCATTAACTTCGAGATGTGTAAGTTCCTTGCAGCCAGTGGCAATGGCTTCCAAACCGTTGTCACTCAGAAAGTAGCAGTCACTTAGAGTAAGATCTTTTAACTTCTTGCATCCATTCCCAATAGCGCGTAAGCCCCTGAGTGTTATAAACAGGATGAAATTAAGTAACACGTTACTTATGATCATCTAGAGACATTACTTTTGTTGATTTTTGCACAGTAATTTAGAGACATTAACATTCAGTAAAATTTAATGCAGAAACGAAAATGAAAATAGCAACAATTGAAGAAAAATATAATAAATAAAGACTGGGAGTAAAAGATCCATAAGTAGCACTAACTTATCCGTAAATCTCTGGAAACTGTACAGAGCCAATAACTCTAGAGACAAACAAGAAGTGCCAACAGCTTTCAGAGCCTCATCAGTAACATTGATACATTGTAGCTTCAGTATTCTCAAACATGGGCATCCCTGGGCGATTGCAATGACCCCTTTGTTGTGCATGAACTCTGAATCCAACGACAGGATCTCAAGAGATTTGCAGTGCAACCCAACTGCCTCCAATGAGATATCAGTTATCTTTGCACAAGCTGCTATCCCAAGAGATTTCAATGACTTTGCACAACTAATAGCTAATTCAACCAAACCCATATCAGTCAAGCCCTCGCAAAACCGCAAATTCAAATCTTCAAGCTGCTTACATGACTTTCCAACAGCTGCTAGACCCAGATCTCCAACATAGCAACCCTTGAAAGAAAAACAACATCAAAACAGCACATCTTTCAAAAATGTTGCAAAATAAGTAAGATATAAATACTTAAAATTGTTTAGTAACCAAAAACCCACCTGTAAGTCCAAAGATTTTAAATAAGTGCACTTATTTGCCAGGGAAATTAAGCCAGCACTTGACACGTTAGAGCACCAGATTAAGCTCAGCTTCTCAAGTTTTGGCAAGCCTTCACCAAGTGCAATTAACCCCGAATCGGAAAAATGAGACGATTCAAATTCAGCATCTTCAATCCCATTTTTCTCAAAGGCACATTGATTAAGAGAGGAAACCGAAGTTTGGCTACGACTGCCCCTTTTTCCCTACACCCAAATCAACGTCACATCTCAAATAAACATCTAATAACCTCCTCTACAAACACTAAAGAAACACAATCTTCTCTCTAGATTCTTTTTCCTCCTGTATTCTACGAGCAATAAATTAAATTTTTAGAAGACCTATAACCACAAAGAAATCTCGTAAAAAAACTGCTTGACAAAATCAAATTGCGATTCAAAGCTCAATTTGGTGACTTACGAACTGAAACAGAAGCGAAAAACAATCAAAGACCAAAAACTACATGAATTTTACAGAAGAAAAGAAAAACGACACTTAAGCTTAAGACAAATATTAGAACCGGAAGCAGAAACTAATCAAATTCCAGGGACAACGGAAAATTTACGCAAAAAAAAAAAAAAAAGATGATTGAAAGTAAAATGGAAAATCAAGCATAAAATTGAACAGCGATTGAAAGCTAACGAACTGAACTGGGAGCGAGCGAGCCACATTTAACCAAATTCCTAGACTTAACATTGGAACTAAAATCGAAAATTAAGCACAAAATCAAGCATCGAATGAAAGCTAGCGAGCTGAATCGTGAGCGAAAACTAACCAAATTCCTATACCACAGAAAATTTACGCAAGGAAAAAATTTTAAAAAAATCTAAAATCTAAATTTAAGCACATAATCGAACAACAATTGAAAGCTTACGAGCTGAACCGTAAGCAAAAAACTAATCAAATTGCTGGACTACATAAGTTTTACGCAAAAAAAAGAAAAAATACACACACACATATATATATATATATAATAGTTGAAACGACGATAAAAAATATAGCACAAAATGAAAGCTTACGCGCTGAACCGGGAGCGAGATGCTCAAGCGTTCGTCAATGTAAACGTTGCGGACATTAGAGAAGCGGCCGGCGAGGAGGTTGAGGAAGAGGTCGGAGCTGCCGGTGGCGCCGACGCGGAGGGTGGTGCGTCTGAGCCGCTCAAGGGCGAGCCACCGCTTGCAGACGAGCGAGCAGGCGTCGCGGCTCGGCTTGGAGTCGAGCCGCCGCAAGATCTCCACGATCAGCTCGTCGGGGAGACACGAGTTGATCCAATTGTGCCCTCGCATTCTCGAACAGCGGTCGATCGGTCGGAATTCGATTCCCGGCGATCCAAGGCTATCGGAATCCGTGTTCGGAATCGGAATGAGAAAATGGAAATGAAAGATATATGTAAGTTGTAGAGGAAGGGGAGAAAATGAATCGGTGGACTGGGCGGTTGGGGAAATTTTCCGGGTGTGTTTTCTCGATAATGCCCTTGATTTTGTTCTTAACTGCCTCTTACTCTAAATAAGCCCGGTTCTGTCTTTTCGGCTCTTTAAAGGTTAAAGTGGAATAAAAAAATATGGGGAAAGGGAAAGATTTTAACAAAGAAAACTTCGAAACTCTTCTCTTTAGTTAAAGAGGACGTGTCGATTTTGTTTAAGTTTCCTGTCGTTTAGGGAACACGACGTACTGTATATTTAGCCAAAAACGACATGTCTTTTTCAAACACCTTCTGCGGCCGTGCTTTTTTTTTTTTTTTTTTTTTTAAATCCCCTTTTTTTTTTTTTTTTTTTTTTTTTTTTTTTTTTTTTAAATCCCCCTTTATTTTTATGTTTATTTTTTATTTTTTGCTGAATCATTGAAACGCCAAATATTTTGGTTGTGTTTAGAATTGACCTTATTTTTTTTTAAATAAAACGTTTTTAAAACGTTGTTTGACATAATAAAAATAAAAATAATTTTTTAGTTTAATATAAAATGAGATAAAAATAAGAAATGATTTTCAGATGTTTTTTATTTTTTGTTTTCATATTCTCTTCTCTCGAGCAGAGAGAGAGAGAAAAATAGACATTAATATATTTTTTTACACTGAAAAATAATCTCTTGATAAAATTACTAAACCCATTTTCAAAATGATTTCTGTCTGAGATTGAAAACATTTTCATTTTCATTTTCATATAAAAAATAAAATCATTTTAAAACGAGTTCAAAACACGTCCTTAGATTTATGAAATCATTTTTCAAGACAGTTCTTTAAAATCATAATAAATCCCATATATATACTGTAGAAGATTTACGAGTTACATGTTATTTTTTTGTTTTTTGATTTTAGTAGGGAATTCGAACTCCTCATGTGTGATAATATCGTTAACTTATATTTGTAACTACGTGTCTACTGACATTTCACTTTTACATATGAGTGATTATTGGCTTGTTTGTCAATAATACATGACATGTCTTGTCACATATTCTGGTGAAAAATAACAACATAAAGAAGTTAATGTCTTCTCTTTGAGACAATTACAAACTTACGCCTCGTTCATTTTATCGAGTTTTCAATTACAGTTTTGTTCTCATAAAAAGTCATATCTAATTTTTTCTGTTACAGTAAAAATTTATCACATAAAATCACGTATCAACTCGAATTAAAAACTTGAATATGCAAACTAAATGAGACCTAATCTAAAAGTGTATGGTCTATTTTTTAATTAATATCTTTTTAAGTAATATAGTTATTTAAATAAATTAAATATTAATTAATATTAAATAAAATAGTAAAAATCTATACTCATACAACACATTAAATATTTGCAAATTTCATGTGCTATGGAATATAAAAGGATTTGAGATTTCATACAGTAGGATTTATTATTTTAAGTTTTTTTTTTTGTTGGTACGAACGCTCTCTCAATTTCATGAGCATAGCAAAATAATCTTTTAATTTTAATTTTGATAATTCACTGCCTAAATTATAAAATTCGTTGCAGTTGGTCAAATTGAAAACATAGTTAAAATTTTAGACCGATTTTTCCACATAAGCGTTTAATGAAGATAATTTATGATCTTTTTACATCTAATTAGTCCCTATATAATATCACGAGCAATTTTTTTTTTAAATTAGGAAGCTCTTAATTTTTCACTCAGAACGGTTTACCTCCAATTTTAATAAGTTTTCGTTTGTGATGAGTATAAGGGGAGCTATTCAATACAAAAGAATAAATCTGCCTCATTCACTTTATGGATTTAAATTTTCAATTCGAGCTGAAATGTGACATTTTATGAGAGTTTTTAAATGTAACAGAAAAAGCTAAATGTGACATTTTCTGAGAGCTTTTAACTGTAGAAACTTAAACCTCGAATCGATAAAATGAACGATACCTAAATATTCATGTAGAAGAAATTGTTCAAAATTTTAAAATTCGTCTTCAATTTAACTAACATCCTAATAAATTTCAACATTTAAGAGTGAATTATCAATATTAAGAGCTAAGGAACGGTCTCGTTCACTTCGCTGATTCGAGTTGAGATGTGATTTTATGTGAGAATTTTTTACTGTAGTAAAAAAGTTAGATGTGATTGTTTATGAGAGTTTTTTACTGTAAAAAAACTCAAATTCTAAACTCGAATCAACGAAGTGTTGTCAAACTGTAAAATTGAAGGGTGTCTGTAAAAAACCTTCTTTCAATGACCTAATATTATATGAAATACCTTACAAATCTTAATTTAAATACCTATTAAAACAATCTGGGAATCGTTATAGCAAAAAGTTCCCAAATAAAATACCTACTTTTCATTAAAATTTTCCCCCTGTTGTTTTTCAAGACCTTTTCCGCGCTTTTTGGGTTCCAATACCCTAAAAAAAATTACCCAAAAGAAAAATAAGTGTTAATCCCTCAAGATTGTCCGTCTTTCCAGCTTAGGGTTTCTCGGCGGGCTATTTTTGGATTTAATTCTGTGATTCACTTGCTCCAATTCGGGAAAAACTCTGGTTGGTATTGGATCTGGGGATGATCATATGATTCAATTGGAATTGGAAATGCGCATTTCAACCTTTTATTAATTCCCAATTCATTCCACCGTTTGGACCCCTAAGGTGAGATTTTGATGAAATCGATTCACTTTTCACATTTAATTCGAAAATTTTCCGACAATTTAGTTTCTTTTCATATCTTGCAAGTTGATGAACCATATAATCAGTCAGTTCATGCACATTGTTCGATCAATTCAATTATTTTGTGTGAAATTTTGGTTTATTTTATGCTTTTTGGGTGATTAAGATATCAATTTCTGCTTTTTATCGCTTCGAAAGTTCAATTTGTAATGTAGTTTGAAACTTTTCTAAACTTCATTCATTCACGAGCACCCTTTTCTGGAGATCTCTTTCTCTGTCCTCGCTTTTCGATTTCTCTCGACGATTCCCATTCCACTGCGATTCCTCCGATGATTTTCTGCCTCTGCATTTGCAGCTAACAGGTCAATTTCTCTCTCTCGCTCTAATTTCTCTCGATCGGCAATGGATGTCTCTGTGTTCGATTCATTTCCTTCGCGTATATATATATATATATATATATATATATATATATTCATTTCCTCCGCGCGATGACCACCCCCTCCCTAGAATCTCGCCTCGTTCGTGGGTTTTAT